CTAGGTTTTACCAGATGGTCTTCACCAAGCTTTTTCCGGGGAGCCATCGCTTCAGGAAGAGCTCCCCACGGGAAGCGCCACGGGAGGAGTCGAACGCAGCGAAGAAAGTGGTGGCACTTCCTGTGGCTCAGCAGCGATGCGTTTTTTTGGACCTTGGGATGGAAACGTATCCTCACCATACAAAATCATACAAACATGCTAGGTCAATCTTACATGGATACTTTAATCCTAGAGTCTTTTGGGCAATAATGGGAATATTTACGTTCACCAGCAAAGAAATCATTTTTTTGCAGGGTATCTAAGATTGGCAATGCATGGAACATCACCATTTTTGGGTATTCCTTGACTATTTCATAGGGACAATTTTGATTGGCATAATCAATTTTCGGAGTATAATACAGAAAACCCATGGAAAATCATCATTTTTAATGGGACAACTCACTATTTCTATGGCCATTTTCAATAGCTATTTTGACATAACCAGAGGGTAATTCTTTTGTGATTTCTCATGGAAAAATCACAATTTTTAATGGGTAAATCAACTATTTCTATGGCAATGTTCAATCATAACTATGGAAAATCACTGTTTTTAATGGGTAAATGGGTAAATCAACTATTTCTATGGCAATGCTCAATCATAACTATGGAAAATCACTGTTTTTTAATGGGTAAATCAACTATTTCTATGGCAATGTTCAATCACAACTGTGGAAATCATTGTTTTTAATGGGTAAATCAACTATTTCTATGGCAATGTTCAATCATAACTATGGAAAATCACAGTTTTTAATGGGTAAATCAACTATTTCTATGGCAATGTTCAATCATAACTATGGAAATCACTTTTTTTCATGGGTAAATCACTATTTCTATGGCAATGTTCAATCATAACTATGGAAAATCACCATTGTTTATGGGTAAAGCAACTATTTCTATGGCAATGTTCAATCATAACTATGGAAAATCATTGTTTTTAATTGGTAAATCAACTATTTCTATGGCAATGTTCAATCATAACTATGGAAAATCACAGTTTTTAATGGGTAAATCAACTATTTCTATGGCAATGTTCAATCATAACTATGGAAATCACTTTTTTTAATGGGTAAATCAACTATTTCTATGGCAATGTTCAATCATAACTATGGAAATCACTGTTTTTTAATGGAGAATCTATATCCATAAGGGATATGGGTTTGTCATGGTTTGTCTGAAATTAAGTATAGTATACCTCCATAAATGGCATTTGAAGAGGGAACATGATAATAAACCAGCAAGATTTGGGACACTATTCTCAGACAAACACATATTATAGCTGCAATAATATTATTCTTAGATTGATGTGTGTTGTCATTCATCATTCTGTACATAAATTTATTGTCATTGGGTGTTGGTTATTTAACGTCCATACACCCAGCCAAAACACGATCTCTTCTAAGATTCCATGGGTGTGTTCAAGGGAAAATTTACAGGACAGCCCCATATTCAATTGGAAAGCCTGTGGTTTCCCATAGATTTTCCCTTAAACCAATCCTTTGAAAGATTCGCCATTGGTCCTTGGCCCGAACTGGACATCAGCCGGCTGCGCTGGGTCGCAGGCTGAATCGCTGAAGGCCGAGGGCCACCGGGCAGCGATTCTTTCTTGGAGTTGCGGATTGTCGATGATGGGAAGTTAGGGGGAAAAGTATGGGGGTTACCCTCTGGTAAACTAACGTAGCTGTAGAAAATAACAATTTTGAATAGGTAAATCAACAATAAATTGGGTATTTTCAATAGCTAATTATGTTAAATTACCAGAGGGTACCTGAAAAACCAATAAGAAACCATCAAATGAAGGATTTAACCAGCAAAACGTGAGAATATAGTATATAGTTGACACATATGATAATATGAGATTTAATGATGTTTTGTTTTCCCCGCGGGGACATCTAACTACTTGGGGGGTCATCAGCAAATTCAAGTGAATGGTTGGGATATTATGGAATGGAAGTCTGGAAAGCAGCATTTTTCTATATATATTAAATGCCAACATGGTGTACCACTGAAATAACTAGGGTTTACAATTAGGGGATATATATATATATATATTATTGAATAGTTGAATATGAGTCTTTCTGAAAGTGGCGGATACCCACGAATGGTCGTTTCCTTTATTGGGAAAATGATGGTTTACCAAGTTGACTGCCAGATTTCGTGCACTGTTTTCAGGCAACCCTATGTTGGAAAATCACCATTCTCAATTGTCGAACTACATGGGCTATGCGGCTATGTTAAAATGCCAGAGGGCAACCACTCAAAACAAAAAACCTGAAAAATGTGAATATTGGGCTCTTGCTTTCAAATATGTTTTGAGTAAAAGAATGGCCGCAATCGTTGGGATATGTGTAAACGATATTTTGGTCATGCGTCTGAAATATTTATCCATTCCAGCCTCTGCCATCCATGTTGGATGGTATACATCCAGTGGACCCTCAACATGGCGTGGAAAATCTTCTGTAGGTAGGATTAGGGAGGATACCTATTTGCCAAGCAGTTTTTTTGGGATGGCATAAGATCTGGGTAAATTTGATCACGACCGAACCCTGTTCTCCCTGGGAATCATGGTGAATTTATGGGAAATCATCCCCATGGTGGGCCCAACATTTCAGGTTAGTGAATTATTATCATTTACCCAATTATGTAATTACAGGTAAATGATGATAGATGGTATACGAAACCGGCCCCTCTATCAATGGCCATTTCAGGAACCTAAACCGGAGGTACCCCCAAATATGGCCCAAAATCTGGTACTAACGTACCTCCATTTGAGGAGCCTGAAATTCCCATTGACTTTATTTTTACCAAAAGAACATTATCCAGATAAGATGGTGCCTTTTCTGTGTGGCCTGGACAAAATCGCGATATGCCCTAGAGACCGGTGTGCTGAGGTGCAGTACCCAGCAGTTGCTTGTACAACAGCGGCTTGGCATTCTAAGCCGGATGATTTTCTAAGTGGTTAATAGTACCCCTAGTAACCATAGATATAGCCATAGTTATATATTCACCATATGTGAGAACTTGATGATGGTCAATGATGATGGTTAATAATAATGGTTTAATGTTTAATATAATGATGTTTAATGGTGAGTATATGGTTCATAATGTGGGTAAAGCAAAGCCATAATAAACCATCCCCCAGTTATCACCATAAATAGGTTGTATAAACAATTCCCAAATGGGTGGTTTATTATTGTTTTACCCACATTTATGAAAAATGGGAATGAATCCTCACAAAACTGGAGTAATGGAAATAAATGAAGCTTATCACCCCAGAAATGCATCAAGTTTTAATCAATACCCAGTACTCCAAGTTTCCGTTGAGCATCTCCCTTTCAAACTGGGCAGGGCATGGGCATACTCATGTCACTAGCGACTGGTTGATGCTGGTTGGTGAATAGAACGACCTCATCATGATGTCACCATAAGTGAGGGTCAAGAAAGGTACTCTAATCATCCCAACAAATTACCTTGGAAAACGTGTGTGGGTTGTTTCAGCACACCAGATTCATTATAGTTAATTTACACCCTGCAAGGGCCATATCCAAATGTAAAATGGTCCAAATCGGACCTCCCCTGAACTATTCACAATGGAAACAGTTATAGTGGGAATAAAATAAGTACTGCTAAACCGTCTGTGATTCAGCCACATATTTTTTCACCCTACCATTGATCAAGCTGGCATTTACCCTCTGGTAAACCAACATAACATAACTATTGAAAATCACCATTTTCAATTGGTAAATCCACTATAAATGGCCATTTTCAATAGCTGCGTTAGTTTACCTGAGGGTACCTGATATAGTTTTTGTCTTGGCGTCATGTTCCACTGACGTTTTCACCGCTAACTCTCGATTCCAGACTTGGATGGGAACATCTTCACCATCTTTAGGCAACCCAGGCAACTTGATAAGATGGCGACCATGGTTTCCTACAGGTTATCCCTTAAAGCAATCCATTTCATTAACTCCATTAATATTCACCATTGGATGATAATTATCTGGCTATCATTTTTTTAACTGGATTCTATTTTGCCATTGACTGGATAAAAGCTATTATAATCCCAATAATTATGATTATATTCGCCAATGATAATCCCAAAATACACCTTCCTGGCGCCTCTATGAAACCTCCCAGGTGACAGCAGCAGCAGTGGTCCTGGCGTTCGCGGTGCGTATCCACCGAGCCGCTGGTTAGATCATGGGGCGTTGTAGGTATTCCTGGGTTGTTCAAAGACTCTTAAAGGTGATGTTCTATCTTTTTCAATGGGAAATCCACTATATACATGGGGAATCATATTCTCCTTTAATGTGGTGCTTTATCATAGCAAATCCAAGGACATAAGAAAAATGATACGTTAACAAGCCGATAGTCGTGCATCTAACATGATTTAGCAACAAAGTGGAATTGCGAAATCCACCCAATTCATGGCAACTGTTTTTTCTCTGAATCGTTACTATAGAAGAATAATTTTCAAACATAGGGAATATTTCAAAATTATGACGCAATGTGATCAGTGGTGTGGTGCCATCCTGATCCTACAACTTGCATCAAATTACCACATTTACCTTCTGGTTATTCAACATAGCGATGGAAAATGGTTACCCTCTGGTTATTCAACATAGCCATGGAAAATGGTCCATTTATAGATGGTTTACCTATTAAAAATGGTGATTTTCCATGGATGTAAGTATATGATGTAAGTTTCCATTGGTAAATGATGGGAACTCATATGTGGTAATCCCATACTTACTAATGTAAGTACTATGATTATCCACTTATGAGTTCACATCATCCCCACTGGGCCGGTCATTCCGAGGTCCAGACAGTGTGAGCCCAGAACCCCACTCTCGCTGGACCGCAACCGTGGGATGGGAAGGGCTGCCATAAACCGACCTCTGGGCAAACCTTTGCTAGATAATTTAGTAAACCCAATAATAGATAATGGGTTACTGGATTATAACATCTCAAATTAGATGATATCATATGATATCATCAAATAAACAATATATTGATGTTCTTAGTTTTTTTTGAAAGTGGTAAACCCAATAATCAACCTCCCATTGAATGTACTACTGGATCATAAGTTTCCCAAAGAGAAAATGGGTGTGCCCCATTTTCAGACACACCCATATTAACTAATCCCATCACCCATATATTTTTAACACCCCAATTGCATGGTCCCAATGATGTGGAAATTCCGAACAAAAAAACATGGTTTCGCTTAGGGGGTGTTCAATATTAGGTGGAAGGGACTACTTGAATCTCGTGCTATCAATCTTTTGGCAGGTATGTAAGATTCACCATAAATTTGGGGAGGGTTTACACCACCCATGAAGCTGGTGATGACTTGGGGATTGCTTATGACATTGGAATTAACAAACACATTTAAGCCAATATTATCAAATCCTACAGTTTGGGGACCAATTTGGGGAGGATTCAAATTTTAATGATTTATGCGAATCTTATCTTGGGGGTGCTGTGCTATTGGGTTTGCCACACTACATGAATTTAGGGACACCATTTGGTGATGAATCAAAACCATCATAATACCACGTTTTAGAAGAGGAATGAACATCCATACCAGCTATTTTGATGTTGACTGCACCAAACTTTAACATACCGCCAGGTTCCGACCAATTTTTGGAGACCATCAGTTAGATACGCAAAGTTCAGTCCGATCATCAGTGACCCTGTTAGAATATATGGGATACAATGGGATATAATGGGATTGAAGTGGGTGATAAAATGATTAACCTCCTAAAAATAAAACACCGTGAGTTCATCCCCTACTAGACCGTGGCTTAAGAGCGATCTTCGTATGAGGCAGGGCAGGGATTTTTGCTGGTTAGTTCTCACTTAATTTGCTTGTTTTTTTCCCAAAACTCGCGTACAGAATGGACGACGCAGCTATTTAGGTTTGGCGTGGGGGAAAAAGAGAAGAATAACCCACTTCTATATCTTCTATGTTGCTTAACCAATCCTACAAAAAAGAATGTTATTACTTACTTCCGTTGGATTTGTGTGTCTGAAAACATGGCGTGCCCAGTTACCCGGCCAATTTTTGTTGAGAAAATGATGACGAACCACATCAATCCATTTTATTTGACTTGTTAATAGTTGTTTTTAGAAGAATATAATGCCCATTTTCACTGGACCACTTCTTTGTTTTTGTACTGGCTTGCGTTTTTTAATGGAAACCTGCGGTTTTCATCTCCAACTGGGGTTTCCTGCTGTTCTCCAGGATGGGCCCCTTTGCAGAGCAGTCCGACTTGCCGCAGGTCGGGGGCGGCCCCCACCATCGTGAATGAAGCCCCCCAAAGTTGGGAGATAAGCGTTGGAACTCTATGGGTGTTTCCAATGGGGGATACCCCAAGCTCGCTGGTTGGTTTATGGAAAATCCCATCGAAAAAGGGGTGGTAAATAGCATCCCCATTTCAGGAAACTGTAACTATGGTGAATATATAAATATTCAGTTAGTTCACTGGAACCGCACTTCCAAGTAAAAACCCTATGAGTTGGTGGTTTTTGTTGAAACCTAAACACTTTCTATCCTAGGATGGTGAACCCAGCGATTTGCTGCCAGCCAGGGATCCGAGACCCAGAAGGGCTCTGCTGAATGTCCAGACAGCAGCGACTTGTTCGACGATGGCGAAACTCAGGGATTTGAACGGGAAAAACTTCAGGGTCCCTGGGATTTTTCGCATACCCTCTGGTAAACAAGCATAGCTATTGAAAATGGCCATAGAAATAGTTGATTTACCCATTAAACATGATGTTTTTCCATAGTTATGTTAGTTTACCGGAGAGTAGATAGATAGATAGATGGATGGATGGATGGATGGATGGATGGATAGATGGATAGATGGATAGATGGATAGATGGATAGATAGATAGATAGACAGATAGACAGATGTACTGTAGATAGTTGCTCATTGTTGAGTATTTCTCCCATTTATGTCAAAACGGCAACCCAATTACAAGTTGGTGTGTCACCATAGATATACAGGATTGTTTCTGGAATTCTCCACTATAAATCCATCCTTTAGCCATTTTTAGCCAAGTTTTTCCACAGCGTTGACCTGAAAATGTGGGCCCCACATCTCAGGAGAGGCCTCTGTTAGTTCCAGCGAGACGTCAGGGACCTGGGATGACCTGGGCCTGGGTGAGGCAGTGAGGCCACGAAACGATGGTGATCCGTGGGTAAATTTCGATGCCATAAATTTACCACTGACTGGGAATGGTTTTTGAATCCCATAGGATCCATATATGGTATACTAGGTCAATCTTACATAGGTACTTTAATCCTTTAGTCTTTTGGTATTAATGGGAATATCTACTAACCAGCAAAGAATTTAATTTTTTGCAGGGTATCTAAGATTGGCAATGTATATATGCTAACATGACGGGGGTATATTGATGGGATCCATGTTACCATATGTAGCGGCACCATGGATCCTATGGGAATATACCCTCTGGTAAACTATCGTATGGAAAATCACCATGCTATTCATGTCGGTAAATCCACTATTTCGACTGGGCCGTGGCTTCAATCGCTTTTTGTATGTTTACCAGGCCAGGTAGCAGCTATAAAAATGGTGATTTTTCTCCGGGGATGGTGGAAATGGCCATGGTTTGATTCATGGATTTTCTATGGTGATTTTCCCAAGTTGATGGTGATTTCACCCAACAATGAGGGGATTTTTGATGAAGCCAACAGAAAGAGAGTTTTCTCGATGCGTTCAGTGGCCCGGCTATTAAGTGGCTGAATTCTATGGTTTATGGTGGATATAATAATAGTGGATTTGATGTTTAATGATATCATATGATTAATTATTGCAAAACGCACCATGATGCTAGATATTTCTCGGATAACTTGATCATGTTTTCCACATCCTGTCATTTCCAGGTTCCCAACTTAAAAAAAGAATCCGGGGTGCCACAGCAACCCAATAAAAACCAAAGGAAACTAAAATCTGCTTCTAAATTAGTGATAAAATCACTATTGGCTATGTTCTATTCGGTTCTCTCTTTTTGGTGTCTTCATTTGAAAAGAAAATGTCCATGAAACCCGGGAAAAAACATTGGTTTACTTGAAGTTTTCAGAGATCGGGACTTGAATAAATATGAAGGTTTCCTGAAATGGGGGTACCCCCAAATCATCCATTTATAGATTAGATTTTCCAGTAGTTAAACCATCCAGCTATATATATTGGGGGACCCCCATTTGTGGAAGCCTCCATATATTTTTTCATGTTTTGTTAGGACGATCATGTCAAGAATTGCTGATGTCAGGCGTGGGATTTGCCACAATTTGCCATATATCCGTAAGGTGTCTAAATTGAGCAGGGAGAATCCCTGAAAAGTTTGGATGAGTAGATTCTCATAGTGGCCTCATCAGTGTAGATGCCTCATCATTGCCCGGTGCCCGGTGCATCCCGGTGCCCCATCATACTTCTGTATCAAGGGGGTGGAATCACTAAATTGAGAATTACTGATGTAGAGTAAGTGGCCACCCCCCTTTATAGCTATCGTTATTCATTGTTTTAACTCAAAAAGATCAGCTCAAGATGGAAAGATGCATGGTCCAAGGTCCTAAGGCTGTGGTTTTCTGCTGTTTTTTGATGGAAAAACATAGACATAAATTGAAGGTTGGAAGCTGACAAACAGGCTTTTGCAAGATTATTTTCCTGATTTTGCCATGATTGGGCTCCAATGAAATCTGACCCTGAAAGCCTCGCGTCGTCTTTTTGACTTGTCGTTTGTGGCTGCATTCCTAGTTATTTGAGATGCTCAAGCATCCAACATGATCAGCTTCAACCATCTCCAACATCTCAAACCATCTATTTGGCATAAACATCAATCACAACACGAAACTGGCCGCATTGGCAGTTTCAAAGTCTTGTTTAACCGATCATCGTCTGAGTCTGTCTGTTTGAATGTGGTGATTTTTCCCGTTTGTCTAACGGATTTTCGAATTTTGACCTTGATTCCAGACTTGGTTGAAGGGACAGTTTGCGGGGAGGAAATCCAGAAATTTGGAGCAGGGTTTCCTGGAAGATGTCCCTTAAATGAATCCAGCAATCCTCACGGTCTCCCCATGATCCCCCATACAACACATCCCCATAATCCCCTAGTATCCCATAATATCCCATAGTATCCCATAGTATCCTATATGATCATATCGACTTATTGACCTATTGACCTATTTTATGTCTGAGAATTACATATCACAATGAATGATCATATTCTATTGGCATCATATTCACCCGTTTTATGTTCATTTTAACCAATCACATTGACCTCATATTGATCAAACAGTTTTGTCCATCGTTTATGTTGATCAAGGCCCAAGGTTGAGGTGGCCAGGCGTGGTCAGCGGTATCAAACTTGGGAGGATAAGGAATGGAATTTGGATGGAATATCATTGGGATATGACGGATGTGAATAGGAATATCATTGGAATATCATTGGATTATGAACTTATCATTGGGATATTGATATTAACATATATTAACTTATCAATTGGACATTGTTCACTATTATTCTACTGGGGTATTTTCTGAACCACTGGGATAGGACGGTTTTTTTGAATCTGGATATAACTAGGTCAATCTTGGATGGGTAGAAACTAATCCAAAATAGTCTTTTGGTTATCTACTAACCAGCTAAGAATTTAATCCTTTGCAGGCCATGAAAAGATAGAACAGTGATTTATCATGAGTTTGCCCTATTTGTTTTATTATAGATTGTTAGTTTCCATATTTTTTTGGTGGGGTGCTACATGTGAGTTTGGTTCGGGAATTTCACAACAATAATGGCACATCGAACAATTTACGGCGATAAGAGGGTTAATGCATGGGGTTATAATGCGTTGTTTTTTCTGGGGGTATAACAGGACATATAACCAACAATATCTTTGTTGGCTGTTTCCGAGTCTGAAAAAAGGGGTATCCGGAACACCTCCGAAATGGTAATGTTGATGTTGATGAGGATGCTGAGGATGATGAGAATGATGAGGATGATGATCATCATCATGATGATGATGCTGATGTTGATAAACCCTCATTTTGTTTGGTTTACTTTGTCCAGAGAAACCCTGGTTCACAAACCCGAAGCTGATCCAGTTTAAAGCTCTAATGGTTCAGTTCCCATAAACTACCATCACTATGGAATGATTAGGGACGATCCTTCAAATCACAACTGTACTCCCCTCAATATGTCTCTTGAAGTTGTTAAAGCCATGTTTAACCGTTACTGTCATGTTTTATTTGTCAAGAAAAATCAATAAAACCCATGGTTTAGTAAAGTTTCGTCCATTTCTGACTGACGAACCATGGGGGCATAGTTCCACCATGTTCCACCAGGCTTATGAGCAAAAAGTTTAGGACATCCATGGTATAAAGTTACCCTCCAGTAAATTAACATAGACCCTGCCAGATAGGGGTTGGAAGATTAGTTTCCATGAAAACTAGGCTATTTTCAGGGTGGAACTGTTAATTTGCCAGAGGGTAACCGTTGTTTTCATTTTTACAAAATAATTATTAGTAATCAGTCAAAAAGAACATGCTATCATGGTATCAAAAATCATGGTATACCATCTAATTGTCATTATTTTCCAGTCTCACTTTCACCAACTAATGGTATATCATGGTATATATCAACATTGTCATTATTTTCCATCAAAATCATGGTATATCATCTATCATGGTATCAAAAACCATGGTTTTCGCCATATCTTTCTGGTCAACATCCCATTTCCTCCCCTCCGCGTCAGTACGTCTCCTCAAAGCGCGGCGGATCTCTTCGCGCGCGCGGAGGTGACAAACAGTTCCACCTTGGATCCTTAAAAGGTGGCTGGTAAACTCACAGCTAGCTGTGGAAAATCACCATCTTTAAAAGGTAAATCAACTATTTCTATGGCCAATTTCACTAGCTATAGTTAATCCACCTTGGATTATAACATATTATAACATATTATAACTATAGTACATCTAAGTTAATGGTCATTACAACTATAGTCAGCCTCTGGTAAACATACCAAAAACCTTGGAAACAATACAATCTTTAATAGGTAAATCAACATAAAAGAACTATAAAATATGCTATTGTTTGAAAAGCTATGTGAAATTACCAAAGGGTAACGATTGTAAAGAACTAAGGAATTGTTATTGTAACATTAGTTGACGCACATAACTTGATTAACAATATTGGATTTAACTTAGGTTGACTCAATAATCACGAGTGTAAATAACTAACGATAGCTAAGGTTGGATAGCTCATAATTTAGTCATAAATCCACTAGGTTATTGTTTCGGGGATAGCTAAGTTGACGCACTTGATTCAATAGGGTTGATTGGGGGGATGTAACGAACTAGTGAATGCGGAATCCAAAAGTATACGGACATGGGACTAGTGTGGGAAGGGGGGGGTCGATCCAGGGGGTCCCTATAAGTTTTCCATAAAAAAAGAAAAGCAGGAAAACCTGGAAGACCCGATATTTTGGGCTAAAAACTTGATTTCCGGTTAAGATTGATTAGAGGAAGTTAAAAAGTGTAATTGAAAACCCTACTTTCCAATCTATCTACCATCTATCTATCTATCTATCTATCTATCCATCTATCTATCTACCTAATGGTTAATACTAACGTAATCTAGAGTTTTTTTTATCTCTGGATAAATGGTTAATGCTAACGTTTTTATGTGGGTTTATTTGGGCATGGATCCTCAGAAGCTGCAAATAATGAACAGTCCATGACTTACTGCAAGTCCATGTGGGCACAATAAGATGATGATCCACCCGCAAAAGTTTTGCAAAACGATGCGCACCAAGACTTGCAAGAAGATTGTACATATACATTCTATTGTATTTAGCGAGTTGTTTACATTGATTAAACCAAACTGTTTAGTTACCTTAGTTCTTTCAACATATGTGTTAAACCACAATGCGTAAATGATAGTTCTATTTACGTTTGTGCAGATGGAAAAAAACTCTATACCATTGTAATATTTCATAAACAATGTTTGGCTCTCTTACTTATTTCTAGTAAAGGTTCATACCATGATATATGGTTATGATGTCCTGTATGTATGGAACATTATATGTTCTTATAAACATTAATATTATATGCATTTGTTCATTGTCCTTGCAGTTGTTATAAACAATTTTATGGAACTTTATATTATTATCAACAGTTTTATGGAACATTATATGTTCGTATAAACATGTATATGTTCTTTAGTTCTCCTCCCAAACTTCGGGCTTTGGGCCCGCGCGAGCTGCTGGGCTTTGCTCCAGGCCCTTTGTGAGTCTCAGCATTTTGCAGAAGCTGCAGAGCTCTTTAGGTCGCCATCCCTGCTGTTGATGGATATGTTGTTATGATTAATGTCGACCCTGGATTAATAAACCCCAAACGGCTCTTGAATTGGGAGGGTACCCTAAAAAAGTATCAGATTATGACTATTGGAGGAGTACCCCCCGAATTTTCATAAACCATGGTTTGGTCTCATCCGGGGTTGACATTATATAGGGATCTTAGGATGATTTTAGTGGGATCCAATGGATATTTTCATGGATATGGCTGGAAATGGAGATTTGACCATCAACTAATAGGGATATCATGGAGATATAACCAACACATGTTTTTTTATTTGAGGATATAATAGAGTTAAGTTAAGACCTTGTTTATGATATTTTGAACGATGTCTTCAGATGTTGTTCCAGCGCTGAGATGTGTGTCAGGGATTTTCATTGCGGCCAGTTTCTTTTTTGTTCTCCTGGGTACGTCCCATCTTTTCATGGTAAAAAACTCGATGTTTTGCACGTGAAGTACTGTGAAATCCCCATTTCATGGTGCTAAGATCCATTCGAATCCTCAAATTTTGGCTGAACTCCCAGTGAAATCCCATTTTTCCATGCTGAGGTGGTTGATCCCACTATAAGTAGGTGCCCAGTATGTCATAATCCCAGTTGTATGTGGTGTAAAGGTTATGACCCATTTACTAGTTAAGTGGGATGGTGCTAATATCATCTCAAATCTCCAAGTTTTGGCTTCTGAACCCTTGAAATCATCTAAAATCATCTAAAGTCATCTAAAATCATCTGACTTCCCCTCATTTTCCCATGGTTTTTCCCTTCTATGTTGTGCTTCACCCGTTGTCCCCCGGTGTCCCCGGTGTCCCCGTTGGTCCTGCAACGCAGGTGCGTCCTGGCGGCGTTGCGGACCTCGGCGGACCGCGAGGCCATGCGCTCGGTGGAGGCCGAGGTCTGGGCGCATCTGGGGGTGGCCATGCAGCGCCTCGGCGAAACCGAAAATTCGGGGACGAAAAAATGGATGGGCCGCCCGTTGGTTGTTGCGTTCAGTTGCGAAAAGTGGCCGAAAAAACATGAACAAACGATGGTAAAAAGGTAAATACGTCACGAACTAGTTGAGATAGCGTTCAGTTGGTTTATAAGTGGCTGAATTCCATGGTTTATGGTAGATATAACGAACTAGTTAATGGGGATTATGTTATGGTTGACAAACAAATTTATAACTGGGGGGGCCCATCCCGTAAGATAATTAAGTTGTTTATAGAAACATGATAACATGGTGATATAAGGATTGTATCGTGGAATAATATGGAATAATGGTGAATTATTAGTGGTTTAAACATGGTGATATCATGCTTAAACACTATTTGTTAGTAATTAATTATAGATTTCCAATCATATAAAGTATTAGGAAACGATCATGTCAACCCCGGAAAGTTGGGATGGTGATCCAATCTGACGAACTCATATTTTTCAGGGGGTTGAAACCATCAATATCCATCAATTAGACTATTATTTTGATAGATCATGTCAACCCCGGAATTAAACCATGGGAAATTTTCGGTGAATTTTCCCATCATCCATTTCTGTGAATTAATCTCTGGTTGGTGGTTTGGAACATGTCTTTTTTTCCCCAATAAGTGGGATGGTGATCCAATCTGAGACTAATATTTTTCAGGGGGGGTGAAACCACCAATTAGATTATTATTTTGATAGATCATGTCAACTCCGGATGAATAAACCATGGTTTTTCCCATCAAATATAGGGCTTTTCTGTGAATTTTCCCATCATCCAATTCTGTGAAAGATATGGTTTAAACATGGTGATATAATAAGGAATATATAGATTTTATAATAATGGTTAACATCAATCCGGATAATATATAGAATGATACGTATATACAATGTCAACCCCGAATGAATAAACCATGGTTTATGAAAATTCGGGTGGGTACTTCTCCAATAGTCATTTCATCTGATACTTTTTAAGGGTACTTTCCCAATCAAAAACCGCCGTAAACGGGGTTTATTAATCCAGTGGGTTAAATCAATACAGCAATAGGATCTGAAACCATCCAGTCTTTCGGCAGTGATCCATGATGCAAACAAACTAGTGCCATCGAGGGTCCCAGTTCGGAATCACTAAGTTGTTGAACATAACTCCAATTTCACTATGGTTTATGGTAGATCTATCTATACTTACTATGGTTTATAAAGCAACTCCTTGTAGTTATTAGCATTCAAACACAAACCAGGCTCCCCATGGTTTTCTGAAAAAAATGTTTATGCACTCATGGTTAATAATGGTCAATCATGGAAAATAGCCAACAACCATGGATAAATCATGGATAAATGTATATACCCTCTGGTAAACTGACATAGCTATGGAAAATCACCATGGTTAAACACGGTAAATCAACTACAAATGTGCCATTTTCAATAGCTATGTTAAGTTACCAGAAGGTATACTTAGAGATTTAAGAAGTGATAGGCGAAGAATCCCTAACAAGTGATTCTTGATAAATAGTTTAGTTGGAGAATAGGGATCATATGGGATTTTTCTCGAAGATTTAGAGATGAATAGGGGAACTAATAGGGTTTAACAAGTGATTATAGGGGTAGGGTTTTCCGGGAAGTTGGGGGTTTGGATGGGATAGTTTCTCGCTCATCTTTTGGTACTCGCTAGTAAAACTATTTTTTTTTTCCGAGAAATGGTAAAATTCGTCCATTCACCAGCTAGAAATGAGATTTGTTGGCAGGTGTTTGAGATATTCCATGCTTTATACTAGGTATAATATGGGTTTTCACTTCTTGCCCGGCAGGTTTTCCAGATGGAAAACTTGGGTTTTTCACATGAGATTGACAGAGGAAATTTCATAGAGTGATAGGGATCATACCCTCTGGTAAACTAACATAGCTATTGAAAATGGCCCATTTATAGTCGATTTACACATTAAAAATGTTGCTTTTCCATAGTTATGTTAAATTACCAGAGGGTACCAGGTTTTGTTCCATTTTTTGGGGACTCCATCTGGAGATCATACAAGATTAATATGGAATACCCTCTGGTAATTTGTCACGGTTCGCTATTGAACATCACCACTTCAAATAACGGTAAATCGACTATAACTGGGCCATGTTCCATAGTTTTTGTATGTTTACCAGGCCGGGTATGTTCACTTCAAAAATCATGATGGGGATCAATGGAGGTTTTTTTGTGCCATGGTCATGCCACAGGCTTACCGCAACATTGAGTTGGACCTAACATTGAGTTGTACCATGTTGAGATATATCATGATTACTCCGAGTTTATTCATAGTTGTCACTATTTGTGTTATTGTAATTGCTGCCCTTTTTTGAATATGTGTTTGTTCGTTTTGTTTATTGACAGGATATCATCCATTCACAAGCTATTTTGATGTTCTCCAGGTTGCTGTCCGCTGTCCATAGCTGCAGCCCTAACGTTCCAAGGTCGCTCGATGATATCGCAGCAGCCATCGAGAGTTACTGCCAAGCTGTGCGTATGGATCCGTCCCTGCATGTGTGTTTTGCCAACCTGGCGACGCTGTACATGTACCTGGAAGATTTTCACAAAGCGGAGGCCGGGGGCGATTTTGGAGGATTTTGGACTATGGATGGAAGAAGTCTTGGTAAAAATCTACAAGAAAGTGGTGTTTTTTGCTCCAAACTATTGGTGATTGGGTTTTCCTATAGAATTTCCGTTAAACCAATGCCCTTTGAGCGATGGGGGACGCTTGGCTACGGTGGGCTACGGTTGGATCGGTCTGATCATCGTTGGTTGGGACATCTTGACAGCTCAAAATTCGCTGTATTCCCACCTGGTTGGTTCAATCATCCTAAGAAAAATAGTGTAATTTAAAAAATGAGGATGGTTTATTCTATCATTTAGTCTTCCCAGAATTATCTCACTAACTGGTTGATGGTTTGGAACCATGGAATTTTATGACTTTCCATTCAGTTGGGATTAATCATCCTAACTGACGAACTCATATTTTTCAGAGGGGTAGGTATACCACCAACCAGGCACTACACATTCCCACTACACTGACTTAACAGGCATTGTTTTTTTCTTTTTGAAGGAAATTGTCCGCATAGGATCTGGCAGTTTCAAATCCCTCTTGGGAATGTATCAATCTAGGAAATGGAGTGGATGGGGTCGTAGATGCGCATTCCAGCTACTATGGTTAGGTGGGTAACCATAGTAAAGGCCACTTATATCATATTAGTATATATATATATATATTTATTTATTTAGCTGGTTGGTTTAATTCATGGAAAATCTGTCTATAGATGGATGATTTGGGGGTATCCATTTTGGGAAACGCCCATATGGATATGGAAAATGGAACACTTTTCATCAAATTCATTTTGGCATGTTTCGTCAGTTTTTTTTCTACTGGACATGTTGAAGCATTTTTGCTAGCTATCTCCCCATGTTTCCTCGTGGTGTTTCCCCTTTGTTTGTTGCATATAAAGTTACGTCTCAGCTTTGTTTATTCTTGGCATGTTTCCGGGCTCACACTTATTAACACACGGCAGGTGGCTCAAATAATTTTTCATGTCTATTCCAGTTTCCATTCCCATGAAATAACTGGCCAGAAAAACTTGTGCAGCTTAAATTGCACATTGTCTCAATGTCTTATGCGTACTGTCCCCCATGTGGTTTTCATTCAGTATATAACAGTACCCTGAACACGTCGGTTTTCACGGTTAGATACCCATTTTGTAAGTTATACACCAATTTCCATATCTCGCTTGCTAGTTAGACCACAATGTTAGTTGATTAAACATGCCAAATTGATGTATTCGTGTGTCTGGAGTTTGGACAATTGGACCACCATGTCGGTTGGTTTCATTATCATTTTCACATATTATATATATTTATTTATTTATTGGTGTATCATTTTAGTTGGGTCAACACCATATGCAACCATTTTCACATTCTTGTTGGTGGTGATATGTTGTGATTTGTGTATTGCTTTAGGGCAACCCGCAAAAGGCTTGAAAAGTTGGAAACCTGAGAATTATGCGGAAAACATCATCAAACTACCATCCTGGGAACATGTTTCTATATTTTCTTGGGTTCTTATTATCATAACTGACAAAAAACAAAACATATTTATAAACCATAATTTTACACAATAAAAAAAAAAACACGTACCAAAAATATCTTGTGTATCGTAGCTTACCCGTGGTTGGTAACATCCCCATGGGATCACTTCGCAGGAGCATATCTCGAAAGCCCTGGAATTGGAGCCGCAGAACGATGCCTACCTGGTGACTGGCACGAAAATCCAGGGTCGAGTTGTGGTGCTGCGCTTTGTTTGGGCAAATTTTAATAACATATACCAGTATCATTATATCTATAATATTTCTAGGGTTATGTGTGTATATATATGTATGTGTGTGTGTGAATATCCCATAGGTATCTAATATAGGATGAATCATTGGGCAAATCAATGCGGACTGACAGTGCACGAGGAATTGACGGCATCTCTCCACAGGAGCTGAAAATGATGCCACCCCTGGCCATCTCTCACCTCATGCACATCATGCACTCTTATGCTGACGGCTTTCCCATTTGGCTAATGTGGACTAAGACCTGTCCTGTCCCCAAAAAAGCAGGAGTAATTTCGGCTGCCCAAGTTAGACCGATTAGTGTCATGGCCCTGTTGTATCGCTTGTGGAGTAAAGTCCAATGTAGGCATGTTCTTTTAACCATCCTTTCCCAATTACCCCATTCCATTACAGGTTTCCTTCCTGGAAGAGGCCCATATGATGCGGTGTATGAAATGCAATGGATGCTGGAACAAGCTCACGAGTATGGCCCAGCGCAGTCTGGAATCTCCTTAGACTTACTCAAATGTTTTAACACAATCCACAGACCGGCCGCTCGAACCACCCTGCAAACTTTAGGGGTACCTCCAGCCCTGCTGCGACAGTACTTCCAGTCCCTGCACAGAGTTACCCGCTCCTGGTGCCTGCAGGACGCCATGAGTCCACCCAAAGCCACTACCAGAGGATGCCCAGAGGGCGATCCATTGTCGGTCTTGACAATGCTCTCCATTGCAACTGCCTGGACCTCTCAGGTACAGCACCACACCCCAACTGCCCGCCTGGGGGCCTATGCCGACAACTGGGGATGGATGTTAACACAGCCAAGTCAGCATGCGGAAGTCATTCAGAATACCCAATTGATAGTCAAGGCATATACCATGCACATCGACTGGACAAAGAGTTGGGTTTGGCTTACTGATCCCACACAATTGCCACAACTGAAACGGGCGCTGCTCACCCAACTGGGCCAGGTTTGCATCACTCATGTGCTCACGGCCATGGACCTCGGAGGTCAACACACCTATCATGGCCCACCCAAGTTAGGCAAGGTGCAGAACCGATTCAATGAAGCATCCGTGCGCTTGAAGAGGCTGCAAAGCATGCCACATGACCTGACCACCAAGGTCCTAATGGTTAAGATGGGTATCTACAGTCAGGCATTTTATGCCTCAGCTATACTGCCAGTAGGACGTAAGCACACTGACCAAATGCGCACCCAAGTTGCCGACGCAATCCTTGGCCCCAGCGTCAGTCGTAACTCAGCTGTCGCACTGCAATGCATGCCGAAACTTGAGGACCCTGAACTGGTCCTTATTTGGAATGCCATATCCATGGCCCACCGCTACCTTAGCAGATGCGCACCTGCACAGGCTGACCTTTTCCTGCGCACGGTAGCACAACATGATGGCATTTCCTACAAATGCAAGGGACCCGCAGGCTGCTTGAAATTCTACCTTTGCCGTTTGGGATGGGAAATTGACACACAAGGCATCATCACTGTAGCTGCCTTCCGCTCCTTTCATTTGACTTCAACTAGCAAGCAGATGTGGAGACGGCTAATGCAGGAGACCTGGCAGGAAGACCTGTTACTGCAGCACGCCAACAAAAAAGCCTACAGGGGTCTCCCTCCAACCAATAAAGCAGATACTACAGCAGTCCTACAAAAATTTCCCGCTAGCGACCAAAAAGCCATTCTCAATGAAATTTCCGCAGCTTTTCAGTGCAACACCCAGCAAGCGAAGTGGGATCCGCAAACTGACCCACACTGCAAGTACTGTGGCCAATTGGACACCAAATTCCATAGGGTACATCAATGTACGTTTACAGCTGACCTGCGACAAGACATACATGACACCATACAGTGGATGGAAACAGAAGGGGTGGAATGGCATGAATTGCCTGTGATTCATACTCACCACGATCATGCCTGGCTACAGACATACCACACCCACCAGTTGACCCCTGATGTGCCTGAGGCGATGTACAATGCACTTCAGCAAATTGACCTTCAGGGCGCAGTGCTCAACTTCTACACGGATGGCTCTTGCCAGCACCCTGCTTCCATTAATTGTAGATACAGCAGTTTTTCAGTTATCATAGATGTATCCACCAATGATGATGAGCGAATTGCAGCCGCAAGACACTTTGCCAATGGAGGTCCGATGCCTCCCTGCCTGCACACCCTGTGTGTGGGCCGGACACCCGGGGAACAAAGGATCCACAGAGCCGAGTTATTTGCCATAGTTTGGATATGTGAACGGTTTCATAATGTTGCCATACACACTGACTCAACAGTTGCATTGGCTGCCATCCGTGCGTGCAAACAGGAACGTGCTTGCTTCCAACACATGGAGGATCTAGACTTAATTTTGAGGCTTCAACAGGTAATCCATTTGGGCAACAAAACTTTCCTTAAGGTTCAGGCTCATGCTGAACATGCACGAGACGTTACGTGGATGACTCTTTTTCATAGACTTGGCAATAAATGCGCAAATGATGCGGCAATCGTCGCCAACAAGATTTTGCAACCGGATGCGGTCACTGACTTTGAATCTATGCGCACGGACCTTGAGACACACCGCCAACATTTGCAGAAGCTTTTTTCTTTTCATTTGCAAGTTATTAAGCGCCATGCTACCCAGAAGATACATGAAGCTACACTGGTTTCCCATGAAGGCGAATTTTCTGGACCTACTAGTGATGAAGTCTTTCAACAGTTCCTTGACTATTCAGTGATTCATGTTTGGACTCCTAGCGCACAGCAGATGAATGAATTCCGGGCATGCGCATGGGGATTTACTATAGCCACCAACGTTTTGGAATGGGCCAGATTAATCAAGCGGCCCACAGATGAAGGACAGCACCCACTTCAGGAAGACGGAGTCACATGGATCGAACTTGTTTTGAGTTTCATGTTTACACAAAAAATCTTGCTGCCTGTCAAGCGACAGGGACCAGGTAACCAAGAGCATCTGATTGCGTTTTCCAGTGTGGCAGCCATGGAAGCCTATTCAGTTCGCCTCGCTGAATTGGCTAACCCTTTTGCAATTTTAACAAAGCAAGTTACAGACTTATGTGATCAGGCTTTTCTTCCTTCCATTGAGCGTGGACTTGTTCGGAGTTTGTATAAGTTGGGATCCAACATTTTCAGCAGTGGCTACAAATGGAGGGCACAATATCCGGCTCAGGACAAAGTGCTCACCTGTTTGAAACCATACCTGCAGAAATACAAGGGTCCGGCTTATACAGCCTTGCCTGACTTGGACATAACCCCAAATTCACATTTGTTTGAACGGATCAACCGAGAGCTTCAAGGGACGTGGCAACAACGATCCACTGAGGTTCACCGTGCCATGAAAAGAATCAGACAATGGAGACGTGACCCTCAACCACGTTTGTTCTTTGCTTAAGATGGGTCTGCATCTTCCCTGTGAATATCACAGGATGTCATCTGACACGACCGCAATTTCACTTTAGTTAGGTTGCGACTCGCCTCGCCACGAGGAAAAGGGCAAATTATAACGGCTAAAATCTGCGATCGAAGCCTGCAATGATGGTTAGGATTGGGGTACAACTATCCCCAAATAGCCTTCTTTCAGATCAGTGAATTAATATGATTTGCCCGGAATTGTATGTTTTGAAGCCAAAAAGCAGGTAAAAACTGGGTTTCACATCTATATTTCGATGTCTGTGTGTGATTCAGGTATGAGTTTTTTGGTGCGTGGAATGTAACCAGCAACTTACAAATCATGGCGACATGGCGACAGGGGATGGGTCACACAACCATCAAAAAAGGGGTCCCACTAATGCCGTGAGACGATGCAAAAAGTGGTAGAATAGTACACTCCCATGTCATCAAACATTGCTGGAAAATCGGTTGAACATCAGCATTTAATGAGCATTTATTATGAGAAAATCAGGAACAACATTGAAGTAAATGATGATTTTCTTCAGCCATGTTTGATTATCCATTATGATTACCTGTTCTTCATGGTTCATGGCTGTGGTTTTCCAACAGCAAAACATTGCAGCAACCATGACTGGGTGTGCTACGTTAGATTAGCCTCGAATGGGTACTGGGTGTTGGTCAGTAGCCAGAAGATCATCCATAATGACATCAAGTGGGTCCGGCAGTGCTTTGGAACGTGGGAATTTATAGCCATCATGCGTTTATATAACAGTAACACACACACACACATATATATATTATATATATATACTATACTACTTGGTGGTGACTGGAACCATGGAAAATTATGACTTTCCATTCAATTGGGAAATTCAGAAAATCCCAACTGACGAACTCACTCATATTTTTAAGAGGGGTAGGTTGAAACCACCAACCAGATAACATCAAGTGGGTGATCGTAGTGATGGAATATTTCTTGTTTTTTTTTTGAGTAAACCTACTGGATGATGGGTAAAACCCCCCGTTCAGCCCTGAAACCACCCCCGAAGCCATGGTGGACATTGCCACAAGGATCTGGTTCTACTGCTGTCAAGTCATGCAGTGCCCCACCAAGGTTCATACTGTGGCTGGTTGAGAAATCCTGCACCACCTTGGATGGTTGAAACCCTATGAATGAATAATGGGATAAACCGTTAACTGGCGCAGGATTTCGCAACCATCCACAGTATGACAATATGGGTTTATCCAGACATAGCAGCTTACCCCTGAAATCCACTAGTGTATCATCATTTTCCGGCTTCAGTTTCCATGTTTTTGATAGTTTATGGGTGTACCTTATATTCAGACGCCCGTATCACTTTTTTCCGGGTCCAAGAAGAGGTCCCCAGTTACAAGTTGGCTAACCCCATCTAAGTATAGATACATCCACCATTGAATCCCAGTTGTAGCCCCCAAAAAGATAGAAAAGCTGTTTCAAACTGGAATTTACCCTCTGGTAAACTAACATAGCTATTGAACATTGCCATAGAAATAGCTGATTTATCCATTAAAAATCGTGATGTTCCATAGTTTTTTGTTTGTTTACCAGAGGGTATATGGTGAAAACCACATCTTTTTTCACCAAAAAGCCATGACTCTGGTCAACTCAGTGAACTCCCAGGAAATCAAAGCTTCTATGCGACAACGCTCGCGTGTGAAGCAATGAATTCGTCCGCAGCACCAGAAATCCCAAGGGCATGGTATGGGGACAAAACAATGATAGGAACTCAACTCTTCGTTGCTGGTGTGTCTCATTCAATTGAACTTGATGTCGGATATTGTGCTTTTGGAATGTGCTTGGTGGATACCACATGATGGCAGGTGCAATGTCAAGTGACTAGACACCATTTACCGCACAATGCCAAGAGTTCCACAAGGGTATCTCTTGGTGAATTTTGCCCTGGGCGTCCTGGAAATAACTCTGGGTATTATGATATTTACTAGGTCAATCTTACATGGGTACTTTAATCCTTTAGTCTTTTGGTATTAATGGGAATATCTACTAATCAGCAAAGAATTTATTTTTTTGCAGGGTATGTAAGATTGGCAATGTTTATATTTCATCCCTGGTGCCATGGTTTTCATATCAATTCCTTGCTGGTGTTTCTGAATCTGCATCTCCATGGGAATCATCCCTGACCCCAAAATATCCGAAATCGGTCGGTAGCATAAAACAAAAAGTTCTGAATTACTGGTTGGTGGTTTGGAACACTCTTTATTTTTGCATATGCATATAATGTCAACCCCGGATTAATAAACCATGGTTTATTAATTGGGGGGTACTCCTCCAATAGTCATAACCTAATACTTAAATGGTACCCTCCCAATTAAGCAGCCTAGGGGTTTATTAATCCAGGGTTGGTGGTTTGGAACATTTTTTATTTTTGCATATATTGGGAATTTCATCATCCCAACTGACGAACTCATATTTTTCAGAGGGGTTGAATCCACCAACCAGATTACTTAGGTCACTACTTCTACAACCCAACACCCTACCCGAAAGACACTCCTCTGCCACTGCCACCGAGTTGCTATGCCCATGGCAAGTTATGGCAAGTCATGGCATGCCAGACGCGCAGTCAGCTGATTGAGAAAAAATGGCAGCGCTTGGCTGGGTCACCAGGTTATGTTTTTTGTTCTTTTCGGCTAGTCACACCTGGGGGGTGGAAGATGAAAACTGATGATGAAAATTGGAGATGTTCGACTACCCTCTGGTAGTCAAACGTAGCAATGGAAAATCTCCTTATATCTACCATAAACCATAGAATTCAGCCACTTTTTTCAGGCAACTTAGCCATCTTGGGAGCCCCATCCTGTAAGGATTCTCCAGCCACATGTGGCTGGACACCGGTTGCACTCGAGGAAATATTGCCGCCCGGAATGCCAACGTGCTCACTGGCGAGTGGCGTCCTCAGAGAACAACTATCCTACGGTGGGGTGCGAAATCCTGCACGAGTTGGCAACCGTTAGGTAACTATGAAACACTGTAAATTTCCATTGGATTTTTTGGGGATAAACATGGATAAACCATATACCAACTGGTGCAGGATGTCTTCCATCCACAGTATGGCTTAAATGTATTTAAACTAATGGGATTTGATTCCCCATAAGGGTTCATTTATTTGAAATCATTATGTAATCTAGCCTCTAGCCCATTGTATTCACTTGTTATATTTAACCGGATGGATTTATTTTAATTGGATTTAATGGATATGAGTGGAATGTTTTTTTTGGTATATTTCCATGGGAATATCAAGGAGCTTGAACCATCAACAAATAGAAACAACATATGTGAGGAATGGACGTTTTTCACCATCAGCAACGTCATGGGATTGGAACCCAGGGTTTTCAGGTCTACTGGGAATGTTTTTCGGGACAACCAGGATGTTTTAGATTTCAACCCAACGATTTTGTCATGGGGAACAATGGATGTTTAACCATTTAACTGGATTCTATGGGGATTTTATGCGAGACATCATTTCTTAATTATCCGGATTGGCAGTCAAAGATCTGGATTTGCTGAAGATGATTTGTGTTTTTTCCCGGAAATCCACTACTTTCTTTAGTTAGGGAAGGATTCCTTTTTTTTGTGGGTGTCCTTAAGCATCTCCAAGAACATTGCGTTCGAAAACCTGCCCGATATTCATGGAGGTTTTCGTTGGAAAATCAACTTATTATAAAATACCCCTTGTTGGTTGATGTTATTATAGTTGATCATCCTTTATACTGAAGGGAACTGCCTATATTAATCTGACTAGATCACCAGTTGAATCAAGATATGAGTTTCTCCTTTATATCATCTCCGATTAGTTTGGGAATTAGCCGGGTTGTATTGGAGATGTTCATCCTGTATGGAACTCCCCTCGTAACCCCAACATCTTTGGCATCGACATTTTGCGATGCCCTGGAACCCTGAGCGGCGATTCTCTGCCTCCAAGGTGCACAAAGCCAGTCCCTCAGATCTGCCATGTGTGGTTTGCCCACGGTTTTCAGGATATTGCAGAAGCTTTGCAGATAGTTGAGATGGCTGTTCTGTTGCTGATGATTACTATTGTTATGATAATAATAATAATAACAATAATAAAAATAATATGATAACTATTAATGAAGATTAACATTAATGATCATTATCGGTGATGAAGCTGGTGATGATGATGATGTAGATGTAGATGGCAGACAGCAGATGGTGGTCAAGGATTCTGATGAAGCGGGGGGAGGAGGAAGGTTTATAGCAACACAGCACAAGATGCAGAAGAACTTCAGGTTACCACTATTTCTGGAATCGGCTTTGACCAACTTCTATCTTTTTGATTCTTTTTGGGGATAAACAACCTATAGCAATTCACAAAAAGATAGCCTTGTTGGAAATCTGGAAAATATAGAGGAACCGTCATATTATACCATCCTGAAAACACGTTCTATTTTTTGTCGGGGATTGCTATAAAAAGATATGATGCCACAACACATATATATATGATCATATATGTATAATTATATGTAGAAAATAAATGTTATATATTATATACATATATATGTGTGTATAAGTGTGCGTATAAATTCAGATTATTTGTACCATATATAGTTTACATCAGATAAATATAATATAACTCTATATATATATATATAATAGTAATAGTGATGAGAATGATATGTACATATTCTCCATCTATGCCACCATTCTATGTTATGGCACCCCCTCCACAACCTGCCCTAGGCTGTTTGCGGCCTTGAAGCGTTGAGCCACCCATCAGTGCCCTCCAGTGTGACAGGCGCACCCCACGGAACTTTGGTACTTTGGTGAAGGGTAGTTGTTTATACGTTTATACGATATGAATATGAATCGGGTGTGTAAACCTAATATACCAACCCTATACGAACCATACATACCAATCATATATTAACCATCGACTGAGGTATATTAACCATAGATTAACCACATGTATATGAATAGTGACCCTCAAAAATTAAATTAAAAAGATGCAGAACAGTGAGTGTCATCACTATTTTCGATTCGGGTTTGACCAATTTCTAAGTATAACCATATTTTCTTTCATTATTGGACGTTGTTTTCATGTCCTAATGATTCTCAAATGGGTATGGATCAAAACTGGGTACATAATTAGATGGTGAATACTAAAATATCTCATATACCCCTTAAAATCTCTGGTTCCATAGGGCTTCAATCTTTGACCCATCCCGATTTTTCAACGCCATCGTCCCTAGGTGGTAGATCCCAGATGCATCTTCCACTGGGCCCAGGGCTGAAGGCACTACAAAGCCTGTCGCCACTTGAAGCAAAGCCTGGACAAAAAATGGGGGCGTTACCGGGGCCCCCTCCGCTGTCATCAAGAAATCGTGGCCGGCTATGGCTATACTGGTTGGTGGTTTGGAACATGAAATTTATTTTCCATTTCATATATGGGATGTCATCCTTCCCATTGACGAAGTCATAGTTTTCAAGATGGTTATTGCACCACCAACCAGTATAATTATGGAAAATCACCATTTTTCATGGGAAATTTCACTATATATGGTGATTTTCCATTGGGCTATGGCTATACTGGTTGGTGGTTTGGAATCTGAATTTTATTTTCCATAGTATATGGGATGTCATCCTTCCCATTGACAAAGTCCATCATTTTTCAAGATGGTTATGGCGCCACCAACCAGATTGGGTGGGGACATAATGGGTATATTTTACTAATCATCCCCATTATGATTATCCATTATTAATCAACTATCAATAAACTATTAACCAACCAGTGTAATTATGGAGAATCACAATTTTTCATGGGAATTTTACTATAAATGGTGATTTTCCATAGCAAATATGGCTATAATATTGGCTATGCATTGGCTATCTAATATGGTAGTACTGGCACAGCAATTGGATGGGTGTTCCCTTGTGTCATTGTCGTTACTAGTGTGCTGATATCGATGAATGAGATCAGTTGGCAGTCGATTCATATGTGCCAGTGGACAAAATTGTGAATTACCATCTGGTAAACTGACATAACTATGGAAAATCACTTTTTTTTATAGGTAAACCATCTATAAATGGGCAATTTTCCATGGTGTTAAATAACCAGAGGGTAACTGGGATCACTACAAATTGAGGCGGTTTTATTGGATTTTAATCATGGGGGAAATAAGTTGGGATTTATTTTTTGTGATGGTGACATATTCATGGAACATGAACGGAATATTAGCGAGATATTGATGTGATATTATATAATGGATGTTAATAGGAATAGAATTGTGATTTAACTTAGGATATCAAGGGAATATGACGAATATTCATGGAATATTGGTGCATATAAATTGGGGAAACACTGGTTTAATAGAAAACTGGGATATATCATGGCGATGTTTTGAAGGATAGTTGATTTTTTTGATGGGATGGTTATGGAATTCACACTTCCGTAATCAACCATAGCTGGGAAATCTCCATTGAAAAATAGGCATTGAAATGGACAAATCATTAACTGATTGGTGGTTTGGAAATGTTTGGAACATGAATTTTATGTTTCCATTCAGTTGGGAATGTCATCATCCCAACTGACTTTCATATTTTTCAGAGGGGTAGGTTGAAACCACCAACCAGATAGGCATTGAAATGGACAAATCATTAATGGTGGAATGTCCAGGCTGCCATATTTGATGTCCGGGTAAAACTTGGTGGTTTCAAAAATGCTTTTTTTCGACCCAATCATTGGGATAGCGAGAAAAAGTAACTACCTCTGATTTCACAACATGTGAAAAAAATTGCATGTTTTGAATTGCCAAAAGTATGTTCATAGTATGTTCATAAACTGCAAGTGAATTAGTATGTTTATACGAGTATGTGGATAAACTGCAACTTCTAGGGATTTCACAAAATGATCATATGACTCAATTGATGTATGTTCCAGTGTGCGATGTGAGGCAACAGCTTGTGGCAGAAGACCACTTCGAAGCACAGGCCGGCCTCGGTTCCATCGGTTCCGAGTTGGAGAATCCCCCAATCTGTTGATGTTTCCATGTGGAAAAGATGTGGAAAATACGTAGAAAATGAAGCACAAAATCTGTGGCTACCATTGACTACCCTGGTTTTAGATACAGTTGTATCAATTTCAGATATGTTCAGATATATAGTTCTGGGAAAATTATAATATTTCACAAACCTGAATCAAGATGAATTAAGGCCATTTGGGGATGAGTTCCCTTATTAACCATGGTTCCAGGGTTCGGGAGAACAGTCAGGTCGTTATAATTTACCCAGATAGTTGTCTCATGATAGAATACCGGGTAAAGATACATCGCGGCCTCCCTTATACCAAAGTATCCACCATAGAGCACAGGATGGGGCCCCCAAGATAGCTAAGTTGCCTTATAAGTGGCTTAGCTGTGGTTTATGGTAGATATAACTATAGTTAAAGGGTGTTATAATGGTTTATAAATCAATTTATAACTGGGGATTCAGAACTGGTGTTTCAACTGGGGATTGTGACGGGTTACGTCATGTAACTGGTGTTTCTTGAATAGTGATAGAAAAATTATGTCCTACTCAAGTCATAAAATGTCATAAAATGTCATAATTTCAAGCTTTTAACCTATTTGATCTATCTTTTTGGGGATCACAAGAAATGCTTAAAGCGTAATTTACGTCCCTCCAAAAAATCCATAGTTTAAGTAGAATCCCCATATGATCTCATATAACTCCCTATGTCATCCCATCATTAACTGGTTGGTGGTTTGGAACATGTTTTATTTTCCATATATTGGGAATAATCATCCCAACTGACTCATATTTTTTCAGAGGTGTATGTATATCACCAACCAGATATAGTGAAAAATAATGACATTAATGAATAGTACTGGATAATATTAATGGATAATATCTTAATCCTTCACTTTATACCGCTGTGAACTTTCGCCTTAGAAAAACGTGGCTCGTTCTGTTACCATCAAGGCGGAGGGCGAAGCAGCAGAGGCGGCGCGCAAGTTGCCGCAGCTGAATGCTATGCTGCTGGCGGAGGCCGGTGTCGGAAGGTGATGACGTGTGACGACCTAGAAGAAGTCATGGGGAATGGCGAAAAAAATGGTGATTTAAAAATTGTGATTTACCCTCTGGTAAACTGACATAACTATGGAAAACCACAATTTTAAAGTTCGGTAAACCATCTATTTTATTATAACCTCTGGTTATGACTAACATAGCCATCGAAAGATCCACCATGTTTAAGAACGGTAAACCATCTATTTCTATGGGCCATCTATACCATGGCTATGTTAAATAACCGCAGGGTAATAGGAATTCATGGGATTTAATGGCCTACAAAATGGTGATTATAACAGGGATTAAAATGGATTTAATTATCAAATAAAAGGTGATTTCAGGGGATTTTAGGGAAATCGTCGAATTAATGGAGATGCAAACAGTGCTTGACATAGGATGTCTAGGAAATTAATCGGGATTTAATGGCGATTTGACATCAGATTTAATGGAAATTCGTGGGGATATACCCTATGTTTTTTTTTAACAGGTTTGAGTGGGTTATTTAAGAGTTATGATAGTTGTTTGGGTTTATACCTTATGGATATTCATGGGATTTTGATGGTTATTAGTGATGACTGGTGATGATTAATAGAATCTTGATGATGATGTGGCAAACCCAATGGCATAAACCATCCCTAAATGATAGTTGTTTATGGCATTGGGCTTATCACATCATATAATTTGCCAAAATTAGAAGGATAGTCGACGTCACTTGAAGTTGGAGACTAGAAAACACGGCCATGTTTCATAGCAAACTGTTGAATTACTAGAGGTATACCAGCTATAGTTTGTTTTTTCTACCCATCT